CGAATGATTTATTCGAATGATGGCTTGGATGGAAAACAAAGATGCAAAAATGATTGGGTTGCATGAGATGAAGAGCTCTTCAAGAGGTACAACCCACACATTGCGCTTTCTAGAAAATGTGTATTCCAAAAAATTTTTTAAATCTTTTTTTCAAAGAAAGTTCGAAAATGGCTGTGTCGCAGTGTCGCTGGCAATAATTCTTCAAACGCGAAAATTTTCCTTCAGGTCTTTGTGTGGAGGAAAAATAGAAGTTTTCTTGACGGATAGGCATACTGTATTATAGAGCTCATCGAGGACAATATCGGGTAGTGGTTACTTCCAAAAAAACCCAAGCTTGAATTTTATTTTGCTTTTCTTCAAAAAATAACTTCTAATTACCTTTTCCAAACCACATTTCTTCACATGGGAGTTTATTTAAAACATCCTAACAAAGCTGTTCAGATAAAATGGATGCTCTTTGCCATCCTCGCATTGGACGTGTGCGGTGAGTTTCTTTGCTGAAAATAGCTCTTGACTTGCACTGCTTTGCAGGCTTGTAGCTCGGCCAGCAGTCAATCTACAAGCCTGCAAAGCCTGCAGGCTCATTCGAAAGATCGTGAGTTCCTCGACACAACCATGTACAAATGAGTTGAGTTTGAGAAATACCAGAGTCTACGGATGGGGTGAAAAAGCGCAGTCTTAAAGGTGATTGGAGTGAAAGCTCTTATCATCATCAGAACGCTCTTAGAGCTTTGAAATAGATCTATCACAAGAGAATTGACAGTTTCAAACTTTTAGATGGGACTGGTAGTGGAAGGAGCTCTGTTCAATCAACTTTAGCTGAAAAATCCTTAGCCTACCAGATGCGCTTTTTCACCCCATCCGTAAAATCTTCGGGACTTCCCAAATTTAACTCGTTTGCATACCATCGTGTCAGTGAAGTCACAATCTTTCGAATGAGCTTGCTTGCAGGCTCGTAGATAGATTGCTGGCCGGACTAGAAGCCTGCAAAGCGGTGCAAGTCAATGGTGAGGTCCAGATGGGGTCATGTGCACGCATTCAAACAATCGTCGGGGGCGGGCGGGCACCGGAAAAATAAATGGCTGATTTCTCGCACCCGCTCGCGGATTTTTTGGAAAGCAATCAGAACTTTTCAGAACGCCGCTTGCTGAGTTCTCAGTTCCTCAGAGATTCAGCAATATATCTGCAAAAGATAAGAGCGAAAAAAGAATCAACGGGCGTTCTCTCAAAAACTCGCTGAACAATTTCGTGGAATTTGCGAGCCGAATGCGAAATGTCAGCAACGCGTATCTTCCGGCGCCCGCCTGCCCTCGGCGATTGTCTGAGTACGCAAGAGCCATTTTCAGCAAAGCATCTCACCAGCACACGTCCGATGCAAGAGGATGGCAAAGAGCATCCATTTTATCTGAACAGCTTTGTTAGGATGTTCTAAATAAGTTCCTATGTGAAGAAATCTGGCTTGAAAAGGTACCCTAATTTTCACGCGTACATAGCGCGGGGGATTTTTTTTCTAAAATCCGCCAGCCCAAACACGCCACAACACTTCGCGACCTAGGAACCCTATACCGGGCTCCGTATTGCCTGAGAGAATTGAACGGTTTAAGGTTCGCTTTCCGAAACACATTGAAACGGTTGAGCGGCTTGTTTGAAAAATCGAAAAAGGTGCGCTTTGTACGCGTGAAATTAGGGTAATTAGAAGTCATTTTTTGAAGAAAAACAAAATAAAACTCAAGCTTGGGTTTTTTTTTGGAAGTAGCCACTACCTGATTATTGTCCTCGCTGAGCTCTATAATACAGTATGCTTATCCGTCAAGAAAACTTCTGTTCTTGCTCCAATCATAGACCTGAAGGAAAACTTTTGCGTTCGAAGAATTATTGTCCGCGACATTGTGACGCAGCCATTTTCGGACTTTCTTTAGAAAAAGATTTTTAAAATTTATGAAATACACATCTTCTGAAAAGTGCAATGTGTGGGTTGTACCTCTTGAAGAGCTTTATCATCACATGCAACTCAATCATTTTTTCATCTTTGTTTTCCATCTGAGAATGAGCGATGAAAAAAGGAAGGCGGCTTGTCCGCAACTTTTTGGCGGTCACTTTATATACTCTCTACTACCACTCCTCAGTGGCCACGACCAAAAATACTTTTCTTGTCAATCTGCTTACTTCTTCTGTATTGCATAACTGTTTCAGTTCTTGGTTGTTATCGACAAATGTCTTCAAGCGCTGACTTTCCCTGCTACTCCAGGGAGAAACAGTGTGACTATGCTGTAAGACACATTTCGATCATCCGGAGGGAGATCGGTGCGCAGAAATGTGAAATTGTGCGAAATGAGTGTAAGGTAGGCACGACGCGATTATTGCCTACCGAGGGCGCGCCTGGAGAGGAAGCGGCAAGCTTTGGAGGATCTGCTACGCCGCCGACAATGGTTCTGTGGCCAATGTTTACGCATTTGCAAACAAGTTTCATTTGATCTTGATCCTGCACAGGTGTTGCCCTCACCGTAGTGGCACTATTCTGTGTATACTACATTCTACCGCCAACCCTGAAATTCATTTTCTCAGACGATCTTCTTGGTGCTTCATTGGAGCAAGCATTCGAGTTCACGAACAAATAATACATTTTAGGCGATCATGTCGGATACTCAGTCCTCTCTTCTACAACAAAATATTCCAAGGAAACACAAAACTCACAAAACTTCACGTTAGGGACTACAGAGGAGGCGAAACCATCGACCTGCGACGAGGATGCTTTGAAAAACATTGTGCTGCCCAAAACGAAATTTCACAACGATTTTTTCTTGGATAGCGTCACAACAAACAACGTCTCACTGCACGCTGGAACGTGTATCAGTCCATTAAAGGTGATACATTGCTGTGGCTTCTTTTTTTTTTCAAGCACAAAAAAAAGTGAATCTAGGTTTTTCCAGATGCTCCTAGATTCTCAGACTCAATTCGTGAGCGATTCGGACAGTTTCCCATCGCAAGATAGACTAGATCCAGATTTCTACAATTTTCTTTCGACCGGACTTAGCACCACTGATCTCTTTACTACCTCGGACTGGGAATTGCACGATAAGTAATAGCTTTTGAATGGTTTTTGGCGTAAGCTTCGTGGCTACTCAACTCAATTCATGTACATCGTAATAAGTGCCTGCCAATGAGAATGCTTTTTTAGAGGCAGTTTCATGACCTGCGTTGTGATTTTTTTTTCAAATCTAAGTTCATGATATCTTTAGAAGAAGTCTATATATCTGTGTAGCTACAATTTACCATGTTTTGCATGCTTATTTGCCAGTCAACTCATCATAAGACCAATAAATTGTGCAGATGACACGTTTATATTTTCAGTTTGGTTTACATGTGAGCTTTTGTTTACATAGTGAGAGAATTCAAATCTTGAAGTGATGGGTTCTCATCAGAGCTCGGCACGAGCTGGCACCAGGGAAGTCAGGGAAGTTTCAGAACGAAGTCCCTTTGATTTTGAAAAATTTCTTACGAAGTCTCTTTGACTCTAAACCAGGGTCAAGCGTGTTGATGGGATCCGGGACCCTCATTTACGACCCCATTCTTGAAGGTACCCATCCGTACGACCCCCCCCCCCTCCCACCCTCCCCCACTTATCCCCCTTACCTCCCCTACCTAAATTCCTCGCGGTAACCTGCACAAAAGAATGTCGATCTCAAAAAACAACTTCAGTGAGGTTTCGGAAGCAGAATTTCTAGGCCAGTTGGTGCATCCAGCATCTGCAGCACACATACACACCTTCAACAATGTTTGAGATTCTGCAAGTTTTTTTTTGAATTTCAGGCATACTTCAGACCAGCAAATTCGATTCCCGTAGGTGACACAAATTTTTGCACGGAGAAAAAAATGACATTCTTGAACAAGAAAAGATGTTTTCGACTAAGAAGCTCACTTCCTACCTCTTCCACCGTTTTTCCCGCGAAGAAAACCGCTTGAGCGCCGTCCAGAACGACGTCAAAAACGTGCATGAACACGGTAGTTTGAAAATTCGTAACTAACGCCAGGAAAGGACTGAGAGGCTGCAAAACACAGATTCTGTAGTATAGTGCCCAGGCTATCCATAGAAAAATTTTCAGCTCTTGAGGCGCAGTAAGCTCGAAAAAATTTAGATGCGACTCTCGCAAATTTAGATGCGATCCTAAAAAGCAAAAACTGGGATTTTTGAGCTTAAAATTTTGTAACTTACCAGAGAAGCTATAAAACAGCCTGCAATTTTTATGAGGGAAAGTAGGAGGATGGTCTCATATTACAGCAGAACTAGCTGGCTTACCCGGCTCCGCCGTATGTTCCGAATAGAAAATTCCATTTCTTAACCGATTGGGACCTTGGCACACATACACATCGGGCCCCGGCGGGTGTCATAGGCTACTTTTCGTCATCAATCGATAAAATCGACACCGATCGATAACGAAAAGTGGAATGTGACACCCGACGGGGCCCGAAGTGTATGTGTGCCAAGTTTGGTCCGGATCGGTTAAGAAATGGAATTTTCTATTCGGAACATGCGGCGGAGCCGGGTAAGCCAGCTAGTACTCTATATAAAGCGCAAGCACCCCCATGTGACTAATGTGACTCATCGTGGATGTCTGTCGCCAGCGGTGATCTTTGATACCTTGCCACTGCAGTCGTGTTTTCCTAAATGAGCTGCGCATCGTTTACTAATTGTAAGTACAGGTGCCCTTTCGCATCATGTACGAGTGTCACCGCGAAAAAATGGCTTCCGAGATGTTTGCGGTTCCAACTACTCAGTCAATCGCTGGGGGCAGGCGGGCACCGGAAAAATAGATTGCTGATTTCTCGCACCCCGCTCGCGAATTTTTTGTAAAGCAATCAGGACTTTTCGGAAGACCGCTTGCTGAGTCAGCGGATTTTTGAGAGACCGCCTGTGGAATTTTTTTCGCTCTTATTTTTTGCAGATATATCGCTGAATCTTTGAGAAATCGAGAACTCAGCTAGCGGTCTTCCGAAAAGTCCTGGTTGCTTCCCAAAAAATCCGCGAGCAGGGTGCGAGAGATCAGCAATCTATTTTTCCGGTGCCCGTCTGCCCCCGGCGATTGTCTGAGTAAGTGCAGTCTGCGAAATACTGGCAACGCAGTCGTGGTAAGACTGATCAGTTCAGTTTCGTCAGTCATCACTATATTACTTCAAAGAACTCACAGATTTCGATATCAGTAAACAGGTATGCCCATGCAAGTGTGGTTGCCCTTTTGGTTACCACGACCAAAATTTGTAAAAGCCATTTCCTCCGAGACGTTTTGTTACATAGTCAGGATCATTCTCATTCTACAGAAGTCATTACGCGCTTAAAAATTCACAGTGCAGTTTAACATTATGAAGATGTATCGATTTTAACCCGAAGTTATAAAAAGAGATGTGATCGCTCTCATCAAAGTTTTAGGTTTTGATGCTAAAGAAATTGACCGTTTTAGCTGTAGCGTAATGGGTTTCGTCCACTTCGGGTAAACTAAAGAGAGCGGGTCAAACGAAGGTCCACAGAAAAGAAAAACCGGTTGGACAGTTTTGGCAAAAATTTTGAATGACAATGCACATTCTCGAAGAAGAACTTTAGAAGCGAAAGAGAGGGTTCTGGAGAAACTCGGGAGAGCGCTGAAAAAATTTTGTTTGCGTTAAAGGCAACTTGGTGGGGGAAACTCGAGAGCTCGAGGACCGAAAAATGTAGAGAAGTATTTGAAGAACTCTGCCTAAGAGAAGCTTCAGAGTGAAAAAGCTTTGACAAAAATTCAAATAGAAACTTTTCAATCATCCTAATCCCATCTGTTCTACTCCTCTATTCTTCAGCAAAAGTAAGAAATCAACGAGGAGTTGGGGAGGGAGGAGGAAAGAGAAGATTGGCCTAGAACTCTATGAATGGCGGTAAAACGGACACGTGAACGTAATAAAGTTCATGGTACCTGTGGAGAATAGAGGGGAGAGCGACACTATGGGAGGGAAGGCTGTAGAGAGCAGGTGACCATCTACTGGCACGTTTACTTAAAAAAAAAATTTTGGGCAACAGGACTGTGGAGACTTAACTAGGGCAGCAGGGGCGTGGGGCTGCCTGAGCTCGAATTAGCTAAAGAGTGTTTGAGTTTATCCTATGGCGTCTGTACGCCAGAAAGTGACTTATCACTCAGTGATTTTACATAAGGCTGTTCATGCTTGGAAGAATAAGGCTACCGTTAGCTAAGAAAAAGTACGAGAAAAAATCCAGAAATTCTAGCTTCACACTTCCTATTTACCATCGAGGACGTACAGATAGCATCCACCAGCGTACAGACAAGTACACCATTCGGTTTTATATATATAGAAGGATTTTGATTTGACCCCATTCCACACATCAAAACTTTCAAGCATATCCCATTTCAACTTTTGAGCTATGCCGCTCCTACCTTATCCCAAGCATTGGAACACTCGTTCCTTCATCGAACAGAGCCCACCCATCCACGCTGTATCGATACCATCATCATCGCTTCCATCCGCCTCTCTGAACAATTGCGGGAAGCTTACCCTCATGCCAGTTTGATAATTATCCAGTTCCATACTTATTTTGCTCCGCTTAATCTTCAGCTCGAGACGAGCTCTTCTTTTGACAGGGCGTTGACGAGAGGCAGATTAAGAGATGGTCCGACAGTCCTCACCCCAACTGGGCGGTGCCCAGCTACTCCAGATGAGCTATGCCTAACCGAGTGACCGGCAGCTTCCCATCCAGAACAACTAATGTGAAGGATTTAAGAGAGTGCACCTCTTGGACTTGACAGGGCCTGTATAAAACCGCAGCTACAACTTGAGAAAATTCGCTTTGCATCCTATCTAATGAAAAAAGTTTAACGATAGATGCAAAAGCGCGAGAAGTAAATGTTGAACGATCGGTGTCAAAAAAGACAAACAAATCTGCAAACGTAAAGAAATCACGCTAAATACTGCTTTCGGATGCCCATAAAGAACATAGAACGAGTGCTGAGGTGTATATCTTCACCTTAATATATTGTCTGTATCTTCACCTTCACCTTCTTCACATTGTAGGCAGTGTCCGGGCAAAAACTGGATTTTGAGATTTTGTGCTCATCCGGGCCTATTCGCTATGCTGAATCCGAAATTGCACATTGGAGAGCGTGAAAACGGTGAAAAACGGCTTTAACGCAGGAGGAAAATCAGCAACTGGGCGGGGTCCTCCCCACTGTGAAAATTCACGCTCCCACTCAGACAATCCCCGGGGGCAGGCGGGCATCGAAAAAATATATGGCTGATTTCTCGCACCCCGCTCGCGGATTTTTTGGAAAGCGATCGGGACTTTTCGGAAGACCGCTTGCTGAGTCAGCGGGTTTTTGAGAGACCGCCTGTTGAATTTTTTTCTGCTCTTATCTTTTGCAAATACTCAGATAATCGCCGGGGGCCGGCCATGCCATTTTTGGGCAAGCGGGCACCGGAAAAATAGTTCGCTGATTTCTTGCGGTCCGCTTGCAGACATTTGGAAGAATTTTAGCGAAATTTTGACGAATGCTTGAAGAACAATTGCGGTTTCCTTGCAGATTAGCTGCGGCGCAGTGGCCGCATTCTCGCGGACTTTCCGCGAGAATATGCAAAATTTTCGGGGGCCGCACGGTCCTTTGTGGAGGACCGCGCAGCCCCTAGGTACTTTCCGCTGAGAGAAAGTACCTCAAACTTGAGTAATTAAACCATCGATGACTCCTCTGCCATGTAGAGTCTCACCTTTGCTCGGCGTACACCCGAAACTGCTTAAAAACCGTCCGAGCGCCAGCTGAAAATTTGACCAGCGCTCGCTGAAAGAGATTATTTGACGAGCGCCTGCAGAAAATTCTGTGTTGCTGCCCGCTGGCAGAACATTAGACAGTAAAGGAAGTGCCGCCCGCTGAAGGTTTGGCCACGCCCCAAAATTCTGCTGAGCGAGGACCGGTAACGGCAGAGTGGGCGATCGCATCCGCGCGGCGGCGGCAGCGCGGTTTGCGCTGGGACCCACGCGGATTACGGTACATCCCGCTCCGAGTGTCCGCCGAAGCACTGAATTTCTTCATTTCTCTTTCTATCTCTTTCTATCTGTTTGTTTTCTCTCCAATACTCGGATGGCCGCTATTTTGGATTGCCCACTCTTCCGTTACGGGTCCTCCGGTCGTATTCACCGCGCAGAAACGGATTCTCGGTTCTTGGTCGCGCTTCTCAGCCCGCATTTAAATTGGTTTCTCCCTTCAGGTCACTTTGAAGTCATTTTGTTTTTTGTTGTTAATGCTATCTTTCCACCACTTCTTCATAAACATTTCCAATCATACAGACCTTGAAAGTAGTTCTTTTTCATCATCTCCATTCTATATACTTACAGATATAACACCGTCGATGCTCAGTACAAAGAAGATTGCGAAAGACTGCGCGGGGAACGTGAAACGAAGAGCAAGGTATGAGTGACATGCTCTTAACTAAACTCTTATATAACTATCTTGATGTCGTGATAAAGACACGACCCATGCTTAACTCTTTGTTGCACTTTGTTTATATTTTGTGCACGTTATTCATTTCATGCACAAAGAGTCTGCCACATGGCTGACTCTTTGTGCTCATCGGCCAGCCTCCTCTGGCCGATTCCCCTTCACTCTTCACTGTGTCGTGTGCCGGAACAAGCCGGCTGTATTTGTGCTCTAATAAACATTCTTACTCCCCAAGTGTTGGCTGAGTCATCGAAGAGTCCCCAAAAAACCCACTGAACCACCACAATTTTGGTGCATCGGCCGGGAAATAAAAAACCCGCCGAATCTTTACTAACAGGTCAAAACCTGTACATCTTGTCAAAGCAAGATGGAATTGGTGTTGCTGAAAAATCCGCTCACCATTAGCGCCAAGACGCTAAAAACACTTATAAACACATTCAAGGACTACACAAAAAAACCAGTGTATCCCCCCGAGGACGAAAAAGCCTACGACGAAAGTCAGGCAGCCGCTGATCTAATAAACGAAGCAATATACCAGGTAACTGTTGCAAAAGATGAGCTAAAAAAGCTCGTCGCTCAAATCAAAAAAGAATATGAGAGGATTCAAGATACGGGCGAAAGAGAAGACTTCTCCGACGCTCTAGAGAAGCTTGAAGATGACACAAACTTCAATGAAATTTTGGGAGCAGGAACTGAAATAATTTTTATGCTCAGAGCAAGGCTTACGGAAGTCATTAGCACCCGCAATAGACTGGGACGCAAACTAGGACTTACTGTACCTACGCAACCAAATCCAACAGCAGTCACAAATGGAAATTTTATTCAAAATAACGATAATGAACAGCAGGAAATCAGCGAAGATAACGGATGGATAACAGAAAACAGCAATGATAGCGCCGACACAAATATACAAACTAACCGGAATGTTAACACCGAGGCAAATCAAGTACAAACAGTACAAATACAAACCTGTAACAATGTGAAAACGCCCGCACTGGAAGTGCCAAAGTTCTACGGGATGGAGGAGGATTTTCCAGAATTTTGGGCAATCTACGACACGTTAGTGCACAGGAACACCACACTTAGCACAGTGGAAAAAATGTTGTTTTTAAAGGACAGTTTGAGAGGAAAGTCAGACAATGCGATTAAAGGCATACAGCTAATACCACAAAATTATGGATGGATGGTTGATGCATTGAAAAAGAAATACGGCAATAAGCCAATAAACAGGGCAAGAATAGTCCACAGACTTACCTTACTTACTCCAGCGACCAAAACAGCGGAAAGTTGCGCTCACGTCTTCGACCGAATCCAGATGCTGGTGAACCAGATGGTGTCAGCAGGTCAAGACATACGTAAAACGAACGACGCCATGTGGACAGAGATGATCCTAGAAAAATTTCCGTACGATATAGTCAAAAACGTGCTTATCGCGATCAAAAGCAAAGAAGAAGTATCAGTCGAGGAAATAATGGAAAAAATTGAAAAAGAAATCTCAGCAAAAACCTATGTGCAGTCACGGATGAAAGTACATCAAAAAAGAGTCGAACCAACGGCAGAAACAAAAAGCCCGCAAATAACAATAAATGGTCCGCTTTGCGCATTTTGTGAGAAAGGCGGTCACTTTGCAACAAATTGCCGAACTATTACGGATATTCAAGCGAGACGTAATATAGCGATTGAAAAACAACTATGCTGGAAATGCTTCTCCAATAAACATTTTAGTTCGGAGTGTCAACGTCCGAACTGTGCCTCTTGCAGTAGACAACACCACATTGGTTTATGCTTTGCAAGTAGACAACAGAGCTCAAGTGGGATATCTAGATCACAACCACCTGCTCGAAAACAGTATTCTGCTCCTTTCAAGAAACCAGATGAGCGCCCACAAGTGAACTGGAAAAATAACTCCCCGTACAATCTACGCCAAAGAAATAAAACGAATTCGCGACCCAATCAAGCCAACCAAGCGAATTTTGGCATAGAAAAAACAGATGCTAATGTCCAAAAGGGAGAGCAAATCGTCCTAATGACTGCTGAAGGGATGATTTGGAACCACAACACCGAAAACTTCGAAAAGGTGCTCTTCTTTTTCGACACCGGAGCGCAAAAAACAGTAATTCGTGAAGAACTGGCGCAGAAATTAGGCTTACCTAAGCTGAAGACAGAAACATGCGTAATGTCTGGCCTCGGCGGTCATACCGAAATGTTCGAAAGCAACGTTGTTTCAATAAAAGTCAGTTCTGCTTACGGAAAAGACATGGAAACTATTATAAAAACGAAACCGTTCATTACGAAGGCATTCCCCTCAGTCAAGCTAAACAACGTAGACAAGGAATTCCTACAGAAGAAAGAGGTCTGCATCGCGAATACAAAACTAAGAGGAGAAATGCAAAATCCGGACATCTTAGTAGGACTAGATCTCTACTACAATTTCATTCTGGAAACCCCGGAAAGCGCAACTACACCATCGGGACTTCGAATCGCAAGAACGATTTTCGGACCTACAGTATACGGACGTGGGTCAGTTGATGGAAAAAACGAAACCACAAACGTTATCTATGGAATGACAGCCATAATGGAAGAAGAAAATGAACTACTAAGCAAACTGTTTGAGCTGGAAGGGCTCGGCATATCAAAAAACGAATATGCGCGACACGATGAAGTTTTTGACTACTTCGAAAGTTACTCAAAGGACATCATTTTCCAAAATGGCTACATTACCGCTCCATTTCCACTCAAAAGCAATATAATTGAATTAACGGACAATTATGCGGTTGCTTACAGAAGACTAGCTGCTCTGCAAAATCGACTGTGTTGACGGCAGGCATATTTTGTCAAATCTCAAGACACAACGTTAAAAGAAATCAAACAAGACAAAAAAGATAGACAATAATCTCAAAAAGTAAGAAAGAAATAGGCAAATGGCTGAAGAAGCATTTTTAATCACCCTTTTATGCAGCCAGGATGACATCTTCTTGCGCAAGAACAGACGCGCGTTAAGCTATCATTCTAAAAATGATATATCAGTCAATCAAAAATCAAATCCCACAGGCGTCTGCTATGCGTCTGCTCTGACGCATCGTTCCAAAACGGCATCAAGTACCATTCACCATCCCCATATCCCAGCAGGGGTTGATTTGTTACATTAAGATATTAAAATATTTGATCTAGATCTTCTCCAGTCCGTCAAGCCCAAAACTCCACCGCAACTACGTATCTTCCATCCTCGTCTCAAGACTACACCCAGTTCGTCAAGCCCAACTCCACCGCAACAACGTCCTCCACTCCTCCACTCGTCATCGTCTCAACATCGCATCCCACCTTCGGCCGCTCGACAAGTTTTTTTTTCCATTTTTCCCCTTTTTTTTTTCTCGTCTTTTCCTCCTCCATCATATGTTTTTGTAACTCTATCCAACGTTTCGTTAACATTCTGCTGTTCCCTTACTTGAATTTTGCCTTTTTCCTCTTTTTCGCATTGTTCTGATGTTCATTGAACATCCTTCCCTTTTTTTTTGTTCGCTTGAAAAGTTCCTTTTTTATTTTGTGCCTTTGAAAATGTTTTTTTGTGCGGCGGGGAGTGTCGTGATAAAGACACGACCCATGCTTAACTCTTTGTTGCACTTTGTTTATATTTTGTGCACGTTATTCATTTCATGCACAAAGAGTCTGCCACATGGCTGACTCTTTGTGCTCATCGGCCAGCCTCCTCTGGCCGATTCCCCTTCACTCTTCACTGTGTCGTGTGCCGGAACAAGCCGGCTGTATTTGTGCTCTAATAAACATTCTTACTCCCCAAGTGTTGGCTGAGTCATCGAAGAGTCCCCAAAAAACCCACTGAACCACCACACTTGATTTTGTGAAGATTTGCCGGGCGTCGTACCGATATCTTCGGTGTTGGTGCTGCTGGAGCAGAACCAACGGTAATCGGAAGAAATTTGGGAGAGGAAGCTCCGCAACCTAAAAAGGTTAGTACAATCTGGATTGTCATTGGACCTTGATGCCCGTTGGGGAAATATGAGTTCTTGGACCATTTAGCATCAGGTTTTCATGGCACATTCTTGTAACCTCTTCTCCTCTCAAGAGTTCTGTTTATTTTCCCGTTGCGTGATTTAGTATTTGGATTTCCAGAAACTTATTGGGGTGGATCTAAAGAGACTCGTGAAGCACATACTCTTGCCGTACAAAGCCAAGTCACGATTGGTAAGTTTACTGGTTTCTTACTGGCTCTGTTAGTTTTTCACAGTAAGCTGTACAAAAAAACTTTTTCTGTTGGTTGATTGTATTTTGTTCAAAGCAAATTTTGCATTCTTTTTTGGGTTTTTCCTTGGGACACGATTTAGAACAACAAATCCACGAGATAGGCCGACCGCAGAACGACGTTTCATAATAAAGTTTTTCAGGTGTGCATATGACATCTCGTTTACCACGCTTGTGGCAACCAGCCAAACCGCAACGATATGTATTTTCTGGATTTCGGATTGCCGTCGCTTCAAACTCATGCGTGGGACGAACGAAATTGCCGCCGAAAAACTATGTAAAATTCGAAGTGGATCCTCGCATGTCAAAACGAGACATTCGCGATTACCTCGTCAAAATTTACAATTTACCAGTGAGGGATGTGCGAACTGAAAATAAAACGGAAGATACTTCGTGGAGTACACCCGCTGATTCTCACCATAAGATAGCAATGTGGAGGGATGTTAACAAGAAGTTCGTTAACGTTTTCATGAATAAAGGTTTTGAATTTATCACTCCTGATATATTCTCTGAGGATGAGGGGGAAATTGAACTGCAAAAGGTGAAAGAACAACAAGAATGGTTGACGGCGAAGCAAATTTACAATCGTGATAGAAATAACGTTGGTGAGTTCTTTGGAGTTTAAATTTGCAAAATTGCTCATCTAGGCCAAGAAAGCACAGCTTTGCTAGTTGTCAATTGTTTCTTTTGTTTCTTATTTTCAAATTCTAAATTATTTGGAGCACCAGTATAGCAAATATTATCTAGAGTGTCCATCTGCCAGATTTTGATAATTCCTTGCTGTATTTGACAGTGCAGTAGATTTTGTAGATGAAATGCTAAGCTATCTACAACGAAGGATCTATTGAAAATCCTTTTTTACCAATAAATCATATTGATGTCTCAGATCAATTTACATCTACGTAGAAGCTGTTCAATACAAACTTGCTACAAGGTACTATCCAAGCAAACAAATTCGGTACGAACAGATACATGGCCATACAACACATAATCTACAATTTACATTCATTTGTTTTTGCCTCCTCTTTTCTTGATCTGCAAAATAAATGACTAGTTCTTCATGTTGTAGAAGGCCAAAGAGAAGTTGTCTTTCAGGGAGAAACCCTGAATTGGTGAAACTAATTGAAACAAACTCAAATCTCCTTAATATTCGGCCAGTTTGATTTCATACCAGATCAAAAACCAGTGGACGAATTAGGAATTTACAACAAAGAAGTATGGGTGTACTCACATCGAAGATAAGCTTCTGCTTTCTTGTTGGCATGCTGAGCTTATCCTGAAGTTGCTGTTGAGGTCCGATACCTGCAAAAACTTTGATAAGGATGCTCTGAAGCATTTCTAAATGCAAAGTTCCACAATGATTGTAAAATACAACTCTAGCAAGAGTTGTCAACAAAGCAACTGTAATAAATAAGTCCAACGATTTCACAAAAACCGAAGTAGACTCACCTGTGAGGAAACATCGATCTGTAATCCGATGATCGATCCATCCATGTTAAACTCTGCACTTACAGATAGTTGTATGCGCAAGTCAATCGCACCATTACCTGAGAATATGAAGTGATCAGTACAAAGAAAACGCGCAAAATATGATTCATAGTCCACTGATTTGCAAAATTACAAAGTAGGTGAAAATTCAAATGATAAGCGATTTCTACCTTCTTCAACCTTTCAGCCTCCGGCTCCACCTCATCTTCTGTTCTTTGACGTTTTGGCGGAGGAGCCTCAGGTTGCTACAGTGAGTATTTTATAACCAACTCCAGTTTTATTAAATACAATACCGAAGTTGGTGGGGGAAGCATGGCACCACAACCTGCTGGTCGCCTGTGCGGGCATGCCGCTGCCAGGGCACTGGTATGCCCGTTTGCGCCATGGCAAAAGCTACTGATAATGGCATCAGCCCTGCAGCGCTAAAAGGATATGCCGTCATGCGCTGGGCAATAGCAACAGCAGCTGCAGCGGCGGCGGCAGTGCGTTGTTGCTGAGCAACTAGTTGTGCCCCTATGCGTTCTTTTGACGCATCGGGTAGGAAGCTTTGTTAACGATGAAGTCGTGGATTTGTTGTTCTAAATCGTGTTCCAAGGAAAAACCCAAAAAAGAATGCAAAATTTGCTTTGAACAAAATACAATCAACCAACAGAAAGTTTTTTTGTACTGTGAAAACTGTGAAAAACTAACAGAGCCAGTAAGAAACCAGTAAACTTACCAATCGTGACTTGGCTTTGTACGGCAAGAGTATGTGCTTCACGAGTCTCTTTAGATCCACCCCAATAAGTTTCTGGAAATCCAAATACTAAATCACGCAACGGGAAAATAAACAGAACTCTTGAGAGGAGAAGAGGTTACAAGAATGTGCCATGAAAACCTGATGCTAAATGGTCCAAGAACTCATATTTCCCCAACGGGCATCAAGGTCCAATGACAATCCAGATTGTACTAACCTTTTTAGGCTGCGGAGCTTCCTCTCCCAAATTTCTTCCGATTACCGTTGGTTCTGCTCCAGCAGCACCAACACCGAAGATATCGGAACGACGCCCGGCAAATCTTCACAAAATCAAGATAGTTATATAAGAGTTTAGTTAAGAGCATGTCACTCATACCTTGCTCTTCGTTTCACGTTCCCCGCGCAGTCTTTCGCGATCTTCTTTGTACTGAGCATCGACGGTGTTATATCTGTAAGTATACAGAATGGAGATGATGAAAAAGAACTACTTTCAAGGTCTGTATGATTGGAAATGTTTATGAAGAAGTGGTGGAAAGATAGCATTAACAACAAAAAACAAAACGACTTCAAAGTGACCTGAAGGGAGAAACCAATTTAAATGCGGGCTGAGAAGCGCGACCGAGAACCGAGAATCCGTTTCTGCGCGGTGAATACGACCGGAGGACCCGTAACGGAAGAGTGGGCAATCCAAAATAGCGGCCATCCGAGTATTGGAGAGAAAACAAACAGATAGAAAGAGATAGAAAGAGAAATGAAGAAATTCAGTGCTTCGGCGGACACTCGGAGCGGGATGTACCGTAATCCGCGTGGGTCCCAGCGCAAACCGCGCTGCCGCCGCCGCGCGGATGCGATCGCCCACTCTGCCGTTACCGGTCCTCCTGCTGAGCGCCTGCAGAAAAACGCGAGTTTGCGGACCGCCTGCCCCCGGCGATTATCTGAGTTTAGGTACGTGCCCTAGAAATTTGCAGTTTATCTTTTCCTCCATTTTACGAAGTTGTAACGGGCCACATTATCAGTACCGAATCTGTTGCAACGTTACACGGTGAACATTTTCTACCTGTCGCTTATATGTTGATCATAAGCTGAATGCATAAGTTTCGGAAAAGCGAAACGCATCATCATGACCAGGGGATCTGCGGAAGCGAAGTGGTAAACAAGGAATCGTTATATGTTACGTAGTGGTCTTCGCCTAGAGGATCTTTCGGCGTGCTGATCACGAACATCATGCTTGCTCGCTGCTTGTTTTAAAGACCCACAAAAATGTCTTATTATGCGATATGAGTACGACATTCTTGATCAGCATTCCTAGCACAAAGCATTAAGCTGATCTGCGACTTTGACGGCTTGCCTATGCCGGCTCTGTGAAAATTCCGCAAGCTCAGAAAGAGCATGATATTCGCGATCACGCTGTGATACCCCTCTAGACGGAGATTTGACCAATTTGGAATTGCGCCACCTATCGTACAAACACCGTCACCCGAAAAAATCGCTCCCATGCGAATTCAGCATGAATTTCAGGGTCAGCGTGCCAAGTACCCCCCCCCCCAGGCGAAGTTTAGAGCGCCGTGATTTTTACCCCCTACATAAGCCTACCGTAACCATAAGGGAGAAGTTATTTCGCGGAAAAGGTGTGAATTCATATTCGTGATCATGTGGGAGTACCAAGAAAATTTGGGGTCCTTAGAGCCGGAGGTTCGGCCTGATCCCGATCGGGGCAGACTGTATAATCTTAGCCCCATGGTGCGGAATCGCGAATGGAACGGGTTTGAAAAGCCTTCATTTAACTGAATGCCGATAAAACTGGTGTGAACGATTGGTATGAACTAGATAAGAAAGATCACGTAACACTGGTGACACTGGTAACTTATGGCCGAAGCTTTAGTTGGGAAGTTTTGGATTTATCTTGCAACAAAAAGTCTGCTTCGTCCTTTCTCTTCCCGAACGAGGACTAATGTTTGCGTGATCTTGCCGACATTCGACCAGCGTACGTGTGTGCGTGTGTGATACGAGGCTATTTTTCAAGCTTTCGCGTGGGATGTGCGCTGAGGAAGCTGTCACAACCAGGATTGCGCCGCCCTCACTGCTCCCTCACGACCCGAGAATCTCATCTACTGGGTGATCGGCTTTAACATTATGTCAGCTCCCGCTTACAGAGCGCGCACTCCTCATTGTCTCCCACGCTCACGCTCTGTCGAAAGATTTGGGACCGTCGCAACATTGACAAGGTAAACGCAATTATGATATATTGTAATAAACACGTATTCTTTTGTTTCAAGGGTTGCATCAGTGCCAAATCTTTCAAGTTTCCATGCCGGTGGTGGTAGATATCAAGGCTCTACTCTTTACAAATACAGAAGAGACCATGACGCGGTAAGTTCGGTTTGACATTTTCGTTCATTCTATTCTATACGGTATGACTGATGATGTCATACGTGCTACCAGCCACTAATTTTGATCACAGGTCTAACACAGCAATCTTTATTGTAAGATTGCAGGTGTGCAAAAGCAATTGATTTGTGTGACGCGGTGTTTTTGTTGCCTCATTCCGAACAAGCCACTTTTCACAAAGTTGCATGTTACCCTTCATCGCTAACAAGGAAAGCATATATACGGAAGTGGCCTTCTTAGATGTGATCTATCATACTGAAGGGCATAAAACGTTGATTTCAAGTCTGCCTTGCTTACAGTCTCATTTCAAATGATCATGTCTGTTCTTGCATAGACTTCAGTTTTGGTGGCGTCCCCATCCTGGATTCTTAGAGCAGGTAACTCTTCAGGTAAATCTTTTCTACGTGTTCTTGATGTTTTCTTTCCTTTTTAGGCCCAAGTATACCTCAAGCGCGATTTAAGTCGCCACGCGATCTGGCAATGTGCTAGATGTCTTCAAAATCAATACTGGTAGATCTCAGAAACATAGCACGTATAACTTTCGTAGGTTGATAAAATGCCCTATCCTCCGTACATTTAGAAACCCCTTACGATGAGTTATGACCAGTTGGAGTATTGCCAAATTGCGTCGCGACTGAAATCGCGTAAGGTATGTTTTCGGCCTTAGGCATTACTTCAAACTGTGAGCTATAGCATTCGGTCAGTCTCTTGCGTTTTTGCATTCGCAAATCCAGAATGAGGACGCCAAAGATGGACGATGTGTGCAGTGCACACATGTTCGTATAAAATGATTCGACTGTACCTGCGGAATTTTCGTGGATGAGGAGTTATGAGCGTTATTAGAGCAAAAAATTGAATGTGTAAGTAGGACAGGACTAGTAGTAAAATTTTTCTAGCGCTTCAGTGAAGCAGTAAATCAGAGCACTCAAATCAATAAATACTCTAAGATAAAAGTTTACAGACTTGGTTGTTTTATTTGAGGTCTAGTAAGGCACTGGCAACCCATTTTATTGCAAAGACAATTTCAATTTTTTGCTTCGATAAACGTTCTCAACTTCTCGTCCACAAGAGTTCCGCAGATAGGGAAGGCAGTTTGGAATCAACGTTTTATGCTCTCCTGGTATACATCTGAAAAGGCCACTTTGATTAAACATGCTTTCCTTGTAAGAGGAATACTATTATCATTTGATTTGATCAAACGAAAAGCTCTAAGGCGATAGCCGCTTCTCAAGGGGAAGGGGGTCAGGAGTATGTACGATCGGCGCGAATTTCTCGCGAGGCGACGCAACGTACTTCAACCAGCACAACAGCAGCACTCCTGGTTCAATGTTGCTTATGGCGTGTGTCATGTATCGGGGATCCCACCCCCACCCCCCTGTTTTTGCCGCATTGGAGGGTTTCGTGGGTCCCAGCACTTTTTGATTTTGCAGAAGGTGAGGCCGCTGAACCTCTTGACTTGCAACCGTTTCTGAAAACTACAAGTGAAGGTTCTTTGCAGCACACAGTTGCGACACAGATCTCCTCGCTATATTTTGCTAATAGTTGTGGAAAGATAGTGTAATCTTATCAACAGCCAGTTTTCTGAGAAAACAGGAGGAATGGGCGTTCCTGTTGTGTAACAAACAACGCAGCCCATGGCAAACTCTGTGTTTATTGCTTGGAGTAGCAAATGATTCTAATGCATAGGAATCGTATCTACAGCTTATAGGCATACTTTTCTAATTTTCTCACCTTGGAACTCTAGCTTGATGATTGGAACGTCGATCGTTACATGTTCTACACACCTTACTACTGGCCAACATATCGTTATGCTGCTCGCCGTTCACTCTACGTTGATCCCATCCCGAACAGCTTGGGTTTCACCTATCCCGATTACTGGTAAGCATTTTGATGCCTCTAATGTTACGTGACGCTGCAGCCGCTTTTGGTGTTTTCGTGAAGTTACCTCATCCTAGGGGATTCGTCGAATCTTGTCTCCTTCCAGATTTTACAACATCAGTTATGTACCTTGCGTCAAACAACACTTGTATTGATTATGGTTAAATTTTAGTAAGTGATGGCATAGTTTTGGTCGTGCATTTGCCTCCGTACTCGTAGCACCGACACAAATTGCTGAAACTAAAGATTTCTGTATGTCCGCTGTTGATCTCCTCCAAAAATCTTATTTGCTTGGTGTCAGCTGATACACCCCCTTGTGCTGGACATAGCGGGAATTTTAGGCGATTTACAATTGCTCAGGTTGCTCATACATGTTTGACCTGCTCTTTACTAGTTATTCCTTCCGTCAGGTTCTTCTTATTGCAGGACCCGCTATAAGTGGTACACTGACTGGTTAAATCCCACTTACTGGCGTCGCCATCGCGATCCGAACTACGACAGTCCTCTGTGGAACAACTGGAGACCATGGCAACTGGATAGGTGGGATCCATCTACTAAAAAAGGGTTTGTGAGCTGTGACTCGACATTGACTGCGACTATAGCTTACGGCAGTGCCTCTGCAAATTTTCGATTTTCATTTTCTCAGAAACTTCTTCCAGTGAAGTTCTTGATTGATATTTCAGTGCTAGTGCGATATTGCCGTCTCACCTTGAGCTGTTTGCAACATTAGGCATTATGCATTGTTGTGCTCATCAATTAGAGAAGGAGCGGCGATCACTCTTATTTGCTTTTGTGGCTGAATTGCAACAATTGTCGTGTTATACGAGCATAAAGCCAGTTTTTTCACAGGTCTAATATCAAGCGTGCGATCGATATGTATCGTAATGGTACTATTGACTTCAAAACGCTCGACGACAAGTGGATTACACCATCAGCATTTGGTAGAAATGGTAAAGATTGGGCAGACGTTTATCTACCTGCTGGTAAGTTCAACTTTGCACACTTCACTTTGCCAATTATGTCTGACATTCTCCAGCACGCTACGGAGCACATCGCTATTTCTACTCCTTCGCTTAAACTGGCTCCGGATGTAGCGAGGCAGCGGTTCCGAAACGGATCGGTTTTTGATTGTAAAAAGAAGCATATATGAATGGTCATGTAAGTGTACATGGCTGTACAAAGTAAGAGAAGAAATAAAAATTTACCATGAAAGTTAGCGCAAACACGGAGATAATATATATTCAACAAACACAGGTGAATTACGTTATCTTATAAGTTGAGTACGACTTTCTGTGTTTACTCTGAGAGCAGCTTCTTTACCTTTGCATTAGCCCCGCCCATGGCTGAATCGCTGTTTTCAACCTGAAGAGAATATGCTGAGTTAAAGTTAGACCTCTATGTATCCAAGCTTACCAGTTCATGTATCCGGTCAAGTTTTGGCTCTTGAATACTCAGCTGCACATTGAGATCTACTGCCAAATGTTTGATGGAATCAAGAGTCTCATCAACTTGGCGAAGATTGTCCTCAATCTCACTTTCTATCACATTTTCTGTCAATCTGCAAGGAGTTGCAGGCGGCGTAGTGTTATGGAACAAAGAACTGCTTCCAGTCCTTGAAGCTCAGTTTGCGGAGGGTAAAGCCCTGACCATACCGTCAAAAAAATCACAGCGATGCGATTTGTGCAATCGGACAACTGCCATACCCCCTATTTCATGCAGGCAAGTTATGCATATCGGTCGTGCTAGCTGTCCGGCGCGACGGATCGCTGAACGTGTTTTCCCAGGCCGTACCTATTCCAGCGATATCGCCGCGATTTGGCCGAAATCTTGCGATTCGCGTCGCAAGTTTGAAACCAGCGACGGAGCGATAACGCTGGAATTGGATTTCTTTCCTGAAAGTCTTTGAAATAGTTTTTTTCTCTTTCGACTTGTTTTTTTTTGCGAAGATGCTAAAAAGTGATGCATACTTTCCTAAATTGCACTTCTTCGTATTGTGATTCTCGTCCCTTGTAATTCGCGCCAATAGTCGAAATGGATAGTTTCAAATATTTGAAAATGGTATTTAGACAACATGCATAGTTTCTAAACATCTAAATATCGCGAAAAATTAGCAACGTATAAAACCGCAGCTACAACTTGAGGAAATTAGCTTTGCATCCTATATCTGATGGGAAAAGTGGAACGATAGACAAATCGTCGAGATGCTGATATGAATTGCTGATGTTGAACCTATATCGGTGTCAAAAAAGTCAAAGGAATATGCAAATGTAAAGAAATAACGCTGAATACTGCTTTCGGATGCCGAAAGAAAACTTAGAACGAGTGTTGAGATATGTATCTTCACCTTATCGCTGAACAGGTAGGTGTGTCCAGAACCCGCGATCAGCGATTTGATAGTCACGATTTCGTCACTCCGATCATGAAATTTCCCGGCGACGGAGTCGCGACAATGAAATCGCTGCACGTATGGCCAGGGTATAAAGGCAGTGTCCAAGCGCAAAGTCGATTTCGAGATTTCGTGATTACCTGAGCCTATTCGCTATGCTGAATCCGAAAATCAACACTGGAGAGCGCAAAAACGGCAAAAAAAACTTTAAGGGAGGAGGAAAATTGCAGGTGGGCGGGGCTGTTCACATAGTGGCGTTACTATCCCAGCTTCAGGAGCGATCTTCTCGCTTACGCTAATCGCCCTAACATCACCACCAACCGACTGCGGAACGCATGACATAAAGTCGGAACCAAGAAGATTGCTCCTAAAGCTTGGGAGAGTGACGCCACTATGTGAACAGCCCCGCCCACCTGCAATTTCCCTCCTCCGTTAGAGCTTTTTTTTCGCCGTTTTTGCGCTCTCCAATGGTGATTTTCGAATTCAGCATAGCGAATAGGCCCAGGTAAGCACATAATCTCGAAATTGACTTTTTGCTTGGACACTGCCTTTAAGGCTTAGTTCAGAGTTGCTCTGACTGCGGTAGCGCCCGAAAGCGCCATGACAGCGCCGTGCTAGCCAGCGCTGTCCCAGCATAGAATGCTATCGGAAATCCGATTGGAATTCGACCAACCACTAGACTGGGGAAATCAGTCGCTTCTTTCTTGCCTGAACTGCATTTCACCTTTCTTGAACGCGAGTAAAGTAAAAGAAAAATGTAAGGACAACTTTGGGATATTCATCGTTCTCGGTTCCCCTGGACGAGCTAAGTCCAAGACTGTGTTTTGCAGCTTTAAAGGATATCATTAGCTCGCTAAAACCCACTTGACAATGCTATTTGTGCGGACGGCGTATGCCTGCCCTTTAGAGTGCGATTGGCTCGTGAGTGGAGGCACCGTACCCATCGCGGAAATTGGATATTGGCTCCAGCAGCCACTTTCGCGACCCGCCCAAATAGCACTTTTCACACATCTGGAAAAGCGGGTAATTGATAATATTTGAAGCTGCAAAGCACAGTCTTGGACTTAGCCATCCAGGGGAATCGAGAACGATGAATATCCCCAAGTTGTCACTCTTCCGAGCCGCTGTCTTCAAGGCAACAAAGACCAAGTTTTTGCGACTTTGGTAGCCAGGGTGTTGACTGGAATTCCCATTGAGATTTGGGTAGCGTTCTGCCGGCGCTGGGACAGGGGTTGTGCTGGCACGGCCCATCTGGGCGCTATCTCAGCGCCGGCACAAATCGGGCAACTCCCTGAAACGTAAACGCCTAGATAGGTACCCAAAAGAAGTGACGCAACATAGTAAGAGAAGGTCATGGGGGTTAAGTTGTCAGCAACGTTATTAGCACCTAATCATTATGTAGAGCTGATCTGTGCACACGGAGCGACCTAGACGACGTGCAGGATCCTGCAAAGGCTTGCCACTTCTTCTTTAGGCGCTCACTTGGGGGTAAAACTCAATTCACGCCTACATTGCATTTATGTTGCACATACCTCGCACATTCTTGCATTAGTTCCTTTTCGGAGAATTGCCTTGTTTCCATGGCGCTAACCAGAAAGGTAACGAAACGACTTATCAGCCAACCAGATAAAGTTGTGTGAAATACTCAATAATCAAAATCAAAAAGCTGTGAGAAACAATAAAAGAAGCAGACTGACAGGGGATGCTATTGATCGTGGTCATTGAAGCTGTGGTAGATGAGCATAGCGACATGAAATGCGAAACTTCTGTTCAATCAACCTGTTTTATTAAATAATGTTAACAGCACCGGCTCTTAAATAATTGAGCAGTCTGTCTGCAGAGTGATCTTTGATACGTTGCCGTTGCAGTTATGTTCTCGTGAATGAGTTACACAAGGACAATTGCCCTTTTGCTCGCCACGACCATAAAGAAAACCATTCCTTTCAAGATCTTTACGCTTTGTTAAGTGGAGCCTGTATTTTACTCGCAGCACTATAGGTATAGGATAGATACCTAAAAGTCATGTTATCTCATCCGCTCTCCTTTTGCAATGCTTCCCAATATGTGATATCGTCGCTTGCTTTTTCAAATATATCTTCAATGTTTTCCAAAGCTATCGAATTTTTGAATTATGGTTCCGATGCAGAACAGCCTGCCAGGTTATGGGAAATTATCAGAAGGAAGGCGGTATCAAAAAATGCATTACTGAATGGCTGCACTTGAAGATTCAGAAAAATCTGATTGTTACAAATATGAGCACTGATATGAGGATAGCTAACAAACTAATAAGTATAGCTCATTCGCTGACCGCTCGGAATGGACATCACTATGGAGCACGCGTCGCGAGGAAAAACGCTTGCCCCAGTATACAAATTCGTCATCGTACAAATCGTGCTCTCGCAACATTTTAGCCGCGCCGTGCGTGGTCCGCATCGTTTGAGCAGTCCGTGCAGTCAACGAACCAACGATACTGTTCGTGCATTGAGGTAATGCAAAGAATGCTCACAATTTCCCAGATTATATCACCTACCAGCTTAAGTAAAATGTTCACATGAGGGTTCTTAGTTTAGAAATTGCGTTGCAGAAGGGAATGTTACTTGGAATTCTTGGGACCGAGATCATGCCAAAACTTTCGCTCCATTGTGCGACTTTGGCTCGAAGTTGTACCAAGTCCAGCAGCAATTGAAATGTGAATTCTCTCATCAAAGTTCCCGGTTATTGTAGCTGTGGCGGAGTGGGTTTAGGACCACTTCGGGTCAAACCAAAGAGAGCGGGTCAGGCTAAGTTGTACAGAAAAGCGGGTTGTAGAATTTTGGCGAACTTTTTGAATCGCTCAAAAATTGACATTCTCAAAAAAGAATCTCAGGGGCGAAAGAGTGGGTTCCTGGATTTTGTATTCAGATTTTAAAAATGTAAACGGCGGTTAGAAATCTTTCACCAGTAAAGAAACCAGAATATCTATAGAAAAGTGGAAGAGGATGTTGTGGAGGTCGGAGAAAAATTTAATGTATTTCTCAATGTAAAGAAGCATCGCCACAGGTGAACAAAACGGATGTGGTTGGCTCTGGAAGTGGAAAAACCTGCACTTTGGCCTGGAATTTCCGACCACGAAACTCCGGAGAGCGCTGCAAAAGTTTTTTGTTGCTATAATGCTTAGTAGGAGAAACACGAGAGCTAGCTGGACCAAAAAATATAGGGTATTTGAAGAATTCCGGCTAGGTAAAGCTTCGAAGTGAGAAAGCTTTGGTAAAGAATTCGAACAAACCTCAATTATCTTACCATCTGTTCTACTCCTCTATTTTTCAGCAGAAGTAGGAAACCAACGAAGAGGCGGGATAGAGGGGGGGGGGGAGGGGAGGGAAGGATCTTAGAACTCAAGGGACAGAAGTAAAAACGGCGCACATGAACATAATAAAGTTCATGGTGTGGACAATAGAGTGGGGGTACTATGGGAGGGGAGAAGAAGGCTGTAGAGGGCAGGTGAGCATCTACTAGCACGTTTACTAAAAAATTTCGGGCATTATGAAGACTGTGGAGCTTTTACTAGGGTGACAGGGGCTTGGGGCTGTCCGAAATAGCTAAAGAGGTACGCTTATACTTAACTTATTACTAACGAGACCAAAGTGCCGCGAAGCGGCACTTTGGTCTGGTCGTGTGTGGAGTGGGATGTGCGTTAAAGTTTTGCGATTATTTCTCCGCCATACGTTATGTCTCACAAATGCTTGCTGATCGTGGAAACTCCATCAAGTGAAGTCTAAATGAGTCTCACATGCTGTTTGTTGCTCATAGCGTATACGACCTCTTAGGACCGTAATAATTTCGCTTATCGAAATCGTGAAACGACGTGTAAAGCCGCAAGAAGTGACGTAGGATTTAGTTTTGTCAGTGCTTGCTGTTGGGCATTTGGTGACGTTAAAGGCAGTGGATCGGCAAAATCCAACAACTCGGGATTTTAACGCGTTAGGTTCCTTATCGCCCAAGTATGAAAGCAGTGCAATCTCGGTTGCACAGCATGCTTTCCCTGCCGAGAAAATCGCTCTCGAACTTACACGCGCAGGCCAATCTTACACGCATCTGGACGAGTTGGCAATTTCCTTCTCACCATTGGAGGCTGCCCGCCGCAACGCTATAACCATTGGGTCCTGCAACGATTTAGCGTCATCGGCCTTGCTCCACTCGTCCATTTCCAAAGGGAAGGGCATCAAAAAAACGCTTCTTTTCGCCGTTTTCAGGCTTTCAAAAGTGGATTTTCGGGATCAGCGTATTGAATAACCTCAGGTAAGCGCAAATTTGACTAGGTTGAGATTTGCCGAGCCACTGCCTTTAAAGGCAGCCGCTCAACAGATCGGCGACTTGTATTCGTCGTTCTCGGTTCCCCTGCATGGGCGAACTTCAAAAAGTGCTTGCAGCTTTATAGCCCGGTTGGGTAGAAACATCGTACCCATCTCGACGGTAATTAGATTGTGGTTCCAGTAGCCAATCGTTCTACGAACGGACGGGCTTTCGCTATCCGCCCAAACACACTTTCCACGTCCGAAAAAGCAAGCTATTGATATCTTCAAAAGTTGCAAAGCACAGTTTTAGACTCACCTCATCCAGGGGTGTCGAGAACGACGAATATCCTAAGATTGTCATTCTGCCGAGCAACTACTTTTGAGTTGTAGTGTCTGAAAGGCAGAACCTATGAACAGCTGGCATGAATCAAAAGGATAGCTTTCGGCGAACCAAACCTGAAGGGAAATAGAGAGTTCCTTGCCGGATTGCACGTAAAGTCCCCCCATCCATTCCCCCACCTCACGTTCCCTACTCTCGAAGCTTATCAAGCAAAAATGTTCTTTATTTCGAAAGGCTTTCCTAATGAAGTGCCAACTTTTTGAGTGTTCTTCGATCAAAGATATCCTCAAAAGCCTAATGAGGTGACCTGACTCTCCAACTTTTCTTATTTTGTCACTTCTCAGATAACCGCCGGGGGCAGGCGGCCATGCGAATTTTGAGCAAGCGCGCACCGGAAAAATAGTTCGTTGATTTTTTGCCGCCCGCTTGCAGAAATTTCGAAGAAAGTTGGCGAAATTTAAGACGAATGTTTGAAGAACAATCGCGGTTTCTTTATGGATTAGCTGCGGCGCAGTGGCCGCATTCTCGCGGACTTTCCGCGAGAATATGCAAAAATTTCGGGGGCCGCACGGTCCTTTGTGGAGGACCGCGCAACCCCCAGGTACTTTCCGCTAGGAGAAAGTACCTCAAACTTGAGTAATTGAACCAACGGTGACACCTCTGCCACACAGAGTCTTACCTGCGCTCGACGTACGCGCGAAAATGCCTAAAAAGAGTCCGAGCGCCTGCTGAAAGTTTGGCCAGCGCTCGCTGAAAGAAATTATTTGCCGAGCGCTTGCAAAAAATGCTGTATTGCTGCCCGCTGGCAGAATATGCGACCGTAAAGGAAGCGCCGCCCGCTGAAGGTTTGACCACGCCCCAAAATTATGCTGACCGCCTGCAGAAAAGCGCGAGTTTGCGGACCGCCTGCCCCCGGCGATTATCTGAGTTGTTTCTCCCATATGGTTTTCAAACGCATAGAAACATTCTGCTGGCCTCAAGCTTCTCCCAGAAAAATGCTTAAGGATTCATTGTCGTTAGTTTTTAACAGATTGAATCATTATCGTCACCTCTTCTCAACACCTCTTTCTTACTCTGAAAGGCTTATTTTAAGTGCCTACGCTTTTCTCAGAAAAACTTCAGTAGAATGCCCACAGTCCTTTATAACGCTTCTCTTCTTCGGAATTTGCGAAAATCTTACCACAATTTTTACCCTATCCTTGAAGTTTCAAGTAAAACACATTTCAAAAATGCATGCATACGCAGCCCGTGGCCCTAACCAAAACCGTCAAGGAAAGTTTCCTCGATCTTTTTTTCTTCGAAGAAAAACGCTCCGGATTCACTACCGACAAATTCTTCAATATCAAAGTTTTTGTGCTAAATCTCCTC